ATTTAACAATTTATTCATTGTTAAAATTCTTTTATACGTCTGTGCAAAAAATATCAATAACGGACAATTTCTTTGCTCAAATTAAAATAAAATGCAAATTATTTTTTGCTCTTTTGAGCAATATTTATTACCGTTTTTATTCAATAAAAAATCTTAATAAAGATTATCATTATTTAATAAAAATCAGCAATAATATTAGGTGTTGGAATTAATTCGTAGCGTTTTTTAATGAAAGAATGTTATTTATTTCACATGAGCATTAAAAAATACATTAATGAAAGTACTTCCCATCACTTGTAAAACGCTACGAATTAATTCCAACACCTAATATAATCCGGAATAATCAATTATTTATTATTTTTGTACATATTATTATTAAAAACAAAAATTAAATTTTATATTCTCTTCTTCACTATTTTTAAAAGAAATTTTATTATTTCGTCTTATGACAGTTTGATGCCTCAATATAAAAATATATAAAATTATATCTCTATATAGAAACCGTTAATCTTCCGTAAACATGTTTACTTTCCGCTTTTCGCATAGCGACGAAACTTTTAACAAATCGATGTAGAAGTTCTAAGATACGACGGAGGTTGAAGAAGGAAGATGCGCCAGCGTCAAAATATCGCGTTCGTTATTCCGATTTATCAAATAAAAACCAACTCTGTCTACAGCGCGGTCGACGGTCGCTCGTTTCTGTATATGAGTAAAATTAACGCGACGCTATTTATACGTCAAAGCGCGCCAGGTTGATCGATAGTTCGCGAGCTGGAAGGGTCCAACGAGAAATTGAACCGCACCTTTGTTGGCGGAGGGAGGCCAACCTCCTTCAGACAAATCGAAAATCCAATGCTAATAGCGATCTCCAATTGTTCCCTACGTTTAATTTCAATTCGCGGCTTCGTCCTGTCCTTTCTCGATATCTATCACTGACTATTTCAATTTATCAGCCGCTGCACCGATTACTTTCCATCTATTTTTCACGACTTTGTTCGTACCGAAAGAAATTCACAGTTACGGTATACTGAATTTTATTTGCCACTCAATATTTTTAATTTTTGAATTTTAAAGAGAAAACCATTAGATAAATTAATGGATAGCATGCGCGAAGATGAGATAAATGATAAAAAAGATCATTATCTGGCATAACGGTACACGTCACAATTGTAAAATTTTTATATAACAATTTATAGAAAATCTCCAAAAAAGCGTCTCAATGTGCGCACATCGCGAACACAGTCGATACGAGCTTCGATTTTAATACGATTTTAATGAGTCTTTTCATATCTGCAATAATTATAGGATCAAACATAATTATAATTTCATTTATTCCTTCGAAAGTTCATCAATCAAAGCCCACTCAGGTACTTCATTGCTGTTCATTGAAATTCATAATGCTCAATCCTACCGCGCACGGTGATGGAGAGGAAAAGAATTTTTATATAACTTCTTACGAATATTATCGACGCTTCGATTTTCAAGATTCGCGACTTACGCGATCGATCACAAATTCGTGGCGGTTTGATTAAGATGCACAATCACATATTTACCAACCACTTCCACATCCTTAGATGATAGCCGAGCGCGATTATCCTTGCTCTATCATCGTTACCATCGCGTTACTCTCCGCCGCAGCATCCACGAGAATCCTATTCCCTCGTTTCCTTCAATCGACCTTATCGATCACGAACGTTTTCCTTCCTTCGCGGACACCACCATTAAATATGCACCAAAACTAATCTCCCTAAATCCACCCACATCGTGCGATCGCTCGCATGATCGTGACCGACGTTCTACTGCGCGACATTCGCAGGAACCGGAAACGCGACGACCGATCGCGAGAACAATCACGAATCCGATGGAGCAAACGTTAGGAACGTCGAACGTCGGGATGAGGAAACGTGCGTCCTATGTGCGACGGAGCGGGAAGGACTTTCGTCCAGGACGGGTTCGATGCGCGCACTGGGGATGAGAGAACCTAGGGAGCAACCCGGCGGAAGAGAGAGGGAGGTTTTGCCGTTGGGCAAGAGCGAGAGAGAAGGTCGGAAAGAGATAGTACATCGACTCACCAAGTGGAGAAAAGGAGAGCGAGGGCGGCCAAACGGCGCAAGCTTAAGCTCGGCTACCGGGCTTCGAAATACGCATATCAGCCCGCCAGCTCATGTACACTATGTACGCAATCGTTAACCGTTAATCACGAATGCATTCTAAACAGCGTATTAAAATTGTAATTTTATCGAAAACATAGAAACTCTATCGTATGCGCAGATAATTACGCTTGAAATTCATGTGCTTTGCGCTCTGATACGAGCTGAACTTAACCCTCTAGAACTGACGATAAAATCTGTAATACTGTTACTGATGCTGGATGTGTAAGACTCATTTATGTTAATTAAAAGGCACTAATTAATTTCAAGGATCCAAAGTGTTATATGATACTGCTAGTATTGATGTTCTTTTTTGAGGAATTTGACTAGACTCTTCTGGACATGATCTGTATTTCTCTTTTCTTCAATAAAGTTATTATAATTCATATAAAAAAAATGAATATTACCTATATAAATATTAAATATATTGTAATAAGAATAATTTAAATTTGTATAGATATAACATAGAGAAGATTGAATATGAAAAAAACAGTTTTGCTGAAGTATCTAAATATTTCAAATATATATATATATATATCTAGATATAGATCTGAAAATAAATTTTGTTGGACTATCAAAATAATTATGTATTACGTTACTACAAACTGATTGCTACAATATCAAAATTTTTTGCAGCATTGTTCATGAGTTATCACATAATTTTGGTCCAACAAAATTATTTTCAGATCTGTACCCCCCTATCTAAATTATTCTTTCTGTGAATTGACATAACTTTGACAAAAATTTATAATTGAGTGAATCTAATAGACTCATTGTCAACTTCGGAATTAAATCTTTGATATTCTGATCAAATTTTATCTAACAAAAATTCGCAATAAAAAAAGTCATCCTATAAAAAGAAGGAAACATTCTCGATGCCATGATTTAAATTTCTTTTAATTTTTCCTGTCACAACATGTATTATATTTCTTATAATGATATTTCTGTCATAGAAATTTCAAAGAAACAAAATTAACCGTCCCTAACTCTACCTCGATTATGTTAATTTACGGTAGAGTAAGATATTAGTAATAGATATAAACAGACTAACATAGATTATTCTAAGATTAAGACATTCATATTACATTCGCGGTGCGGAACTTAAAGTGTCGAGGGATTCAATCGACTATGCAGATTCATCTCTCCGCCACGACAGAGTCCTCTCATATGGAATATCGCACAAACCTCTTATCAGTGTCGTATAACAAGCCCAATACTTCCTGCTCAGTCGTGCAGAATCGCGTGCGACACGCGAATCTACTCTACCGCGATGCGTCGATTACGGGTTGAAACGCGCCATCTCCTACACGCTACGCTTCAGAGCGGACTTTTCGGATACCTGCGAGAGACGGATCAAGGTCAAGGTCGTCCTTTCAGAAACGGTGCAGTAATCGGTGGGCGGCGATGTAATTTACGACCGTTTCGACGCCCCCGCGTTTCACCCTCGACATTACTTATCGACTGCCACAGCTTCAAAGTTACTAAAATCAGAATCACATCGTTCACCCATCCCATTTGAAACGAGAGATGGAAAATGCGGAAGCATCTTGAATTTATGATAAGATCTGCAAATACAGAGAAGGAGGGAAGGAAGTGGGCGACAGCTGAATTTTGCCAGGATATAATAATTTAATACATGTAGATTTTAACCCTGATATTTATATCAACATCATGATGTAAATTTAAAATTCACGTGGTATTAATCCATGTGGTATTAATCCACATCATGTAAACACCAACACAATAAAAATTATATACATAGATATATGTTAAATCCACGCCATATGTTAAATTCACACACGCCGATGTTTTTTAGAGAGTACGGTTTTTATAATTTTTACATGTTACGACAAAAGCTAAATTACAAATCATCTCCGTACAGAAAGAACAATTTTATTGAAGGATTTAAAATTTTACTAAATCCGAAAATAATTTGATCCATCGAAATAATTTTGTTAAAAACTCTAACTGGTTATTGGACAATCAAATGTTTTGCAGCATTACTCATTATTTTTGAGTTCCCAACATAATTATTTTGATGGATCCAATAAAAATTATTTCAAATCTATATCAAGCAAAATTTAGATCTTTCAGCAAAACTCCGTTCTTTCCACTAGTAAAATTCATCAAAAGGTATTTGTCATTAGCAGCGAGCTGTTCTTTAAATTCTAAAATTTCCGATAAATTCGAAGATATTTGAAGAAATCTTTGATAAAATCCTTTTCTTTCTTTACTGAACTCAATCTATCGTGAAAAGACTATTCGAATATGTCTTTCAAATATTTTTTCATAATCACTCATTGGATTGTAAAAAGGCAAAATAAAAAATTCCATTACAGATTTCGTCAAAAAAATGTTCTTTAGCGAGCGCGAAGTAAAAAATCTGAAGTGAAAAGTTTAAAATAAGTCGCTTTTAAATATTCTTCTCGTAATCTCATGAGCTGTTAGTTACGAATGCAAAATCAAGATTTAATTATATACTTAAAGAGAGTTCTACAAATATAATTTTATCGTTAATTCGTTTATTCGTTCAATAAGTTAATAGAGACACGAATAATAGACACAAAATTAAGGATTTAATTAGGAATATTTCCAATTTGATTTCACAGGTATTTTTCTATTTTTATACCGATATTTTTATCGCAAACTGTCTATTAATTTAATAAAAAATGCGAAATTATGCTTGACCGAAAATATTTTCATGTATTATTAAAAAAGGGGAATAATAATGTTATTTTCAAATATAATACAAAAATTATGCAGGTTGTTTGTTATTATTCAAATTTATAGAATAGTGCCCTTCATATCTGTTTTTTTATAGAATAGTACTAATATGAAACCATCACTCACCGATATCGCCGTTAATTTGCGTCTTGGTTTGTTCCGTGTTTGCAGCTTCATTCGCAACAGTCTTTGTACTCTCCTCCACTACAAATATATACAGATTCTGCATTAGTACTATTATAATAACTAAAGGCAAAAAAAGTCTTACAAGACATCATACACCAAAATTAATATTTCTTGAACAAATTTAATCATATAAAAGTATATATATTAAATATTCAAAATAAGCAAAAAAAAAACTTTTACAAATAAAAATGTAATTACTGATATTTTCTTTTCTTAAGATCTATTTTCTTTTTTTAAGATCTATCTAAATTAATACAGTTATCAAAGATATAAAAATTTACATGCAAATTTTACTTGTAACTCTCATCGGTGAAATTGTATGTAAATATTCACGGAACATTTCAAATATAATGCAAAAATTATGCAAGTTTGTTATTATTCAAATTTATAGAATAGTCCTAATCAGTGCAGTTTCTCTGGAGAATTAACTTCATATAGTGTCCTCTATGAAGAATCGTACGTATTACATAAGCGAAAGGTTGTTAATATGACTTACTTTACAAATGTATATCTTTTTACTTTATTCATATTTATAAATATAATCCCGTTTTTTAATATAGTCAAGATTTAAAAAAAAAGCAAGAATGTTCCATAAAATATTTAATGCAACGTGTGTTACCATCATATCAGCAGGCAACTGCAATCGCGATAATACCAACTGTCACATATGTATACATCTTTAAACGTAGATTTCATAGAGCAATAATAATTAAAATTTTATTACATATAACATATTTACATGTGTCGAGATAAAACATTCAAACTAAATTTTTTTTCAAATTGTATTCAACGGTGTCAAATTCAATTTACTATTTGAAATTCATATGTGGGAACAAATCTTTATTTTAATTGCCAATGAGAATTTTGATTTGTAATACGGTTAACAGTAAAAATTTTTAAAATATAAGAATTTACATGGATCGTATATAAATCACAATTTGCACCTTAAAAAAATCGCAAAAATATTAATGGCAGAATAAAGGAAAGAGATACTGCAACATGTGCGCTAAGAAAAATTCGTTGCATTTTATCTTTCTCTAAAATTTTTTTAGAATGAATCACTCTGAAGAGTGAAATCTCACTATTCAAATTCATTGAAAATTGAGTCATCTGGTTCAATCTTCACTCTTTAGAGTGAGATTCCATTCCAAAGAATTTAGAGTTTTATAACATATATGCCTTTCATTAGCTGTTCGATTTGCTTGCGATAGATCAGACTATTTAGATTAATTCGCAAGCTACATAAAAAAAATATCTCGGTAAAGAAAGAAATATGACAAAAATCAATATTCTCGAATAGAACAAAAAATTTAAAAATACATTGTATAAAATAAATAGAATAAATGAAAAAATAAAAATAAATAGAATAAATGAAAAACCTAATTTTTTCGGTTAAAAATATAAAATGTCAATCGTGCTACAAAGAATTAAGAATTATGGATAAAAGTGGAATTTGATTGCATACAGATATTTCAATTTTCTGAGAAAAAATGCACTAATAGCTTTTGATAACTTTTTTGAAGCATTTTTACGTTCAAATGCATTACATTCACTCATAGCGTCATAGGCTGATTCAAACAGACAACCTGCTAACCATATGTTTACAAATGATATATCTTCTTCTATCAAGAAGATATACTATTAGATACTTTTTTAGCAATTTTTAGCTTTTCTAAAATCGAAAGTGCATTAAAACTGGTGTAAAATTATTGTTCCCCAATAATATCCATATAAGTTGCAAATAAACGTTACACAATAAAAATATCGTTATCAATTGTGTCACGTCTAACATATGTTAAATAAAAATTGAGTAAAAATTGTAAGTCGAAAATTCAGACGAAAGTTGTTCATGCCTTCTAAACGCGCTATTCATTTGCACTCATTTGGGAGACTCAATGCCAACATCCACTTTTTCTAGGAAATACAAAATTAAAAAGATTAAATTAAGATTAACATTTTTTAATGTGTTAAATAGCGAATTAAGTCATTGTGTCATTATAAAAAAAAATCAGACGTTTACATTCTCAAGAATACATAACAATTTTCATCATTCTTTAATATAAACTGTAAAAAAAATACTACAAAAAAAATTGACACATTAATTGTGACTTGTAATTAATGACTTACATTGAAAATTACATTACAAACGAAAACGTCTTTCTCTTTAAAAAATAATTCTCTTTAAAAAATAATAATAAATTCAGCATACTAGGAACAAAAATCAGTTACATTTATTTATGTAATGATATTATTTCTCTGCTCACTTATAATTTGTGTCAGTATTACGGCATGAAATATTACTTGTTTCTACGTGTAATTAGTGCCAGTATTTAATAAATTCAAACTTATAATGATTATAATTAACGATTTACATTTAGATTTACATTACATTTATAACAAAGTTGAACAATTTTTTAAAGAATTTAACAAATTCACTGTATATTGGGAATAAGTGTATATTGAAAAATCATAAGAAATTTATTTACATAATGATATATCTACCTGTGTTTGCATAACTATTTATATAAGCGATATGTCGATAAGCGAGCTGCTCGTGGCTATTGATTAGCTAGGCAAAGCTGTACATTGTTATTTATCATAAATATCTCTGTCTAAATGTCAAACTCTCCTTGAATTCAACTTGAACAAAACGTCGCTTCATCATTTTTTAGTATCGACCGAAACTTTTCGAGTATTAAGGGAAAATGCGTTGGGGAGTCGCGGCGTCTCGCTACACACCTGTCCAGCATGCAAGAGCTCTGTGCCACTTGTTGCATGGCCACGCTCGACGCACTTGCATTTAAATAAAACAGCTCGCGAAAACTGGAGCGCACCGTGGAACGCCGTTTCGAAGGGTTCTACGTACCAGCACGACCGGATAGGTCCTCGTCCCCCTGGGCCCCCGATTCCGATGGGATCGGTTGTTGACCGGACGCGGCGCCGGCCACCGCGTCTGACACCAATGTCGAGTCGCGCGTTTCGGCCATTTTCAGGTTAACTCCCGCACGAGTTGTCAAATCCGCACGGCACAGCGCGGCGCGACGCGACGACGAGGCGGCCGCTTACACCTGACTTACCTCGTCGGCTCGCCGCGCGTTCGAATGCTTTTTCGAAACTTCCACGCATGCCAGACCCACGACACTGCCAGAACGCGCGCCAACTTCACGCCAGATAGCGGCACCGGTCGGATACGTGATCATTCGACATCTCGCGGGCAAATTCAAATGGCGATGTCACTCGTACTAGAGAGAAACCTGAGAGAAGCCATGCCTTTTTCTTGTTATCGTCAAAATCGTATACTACCGTCAATATATCCATTTATAGTTTGAAAACTACGTGACTACATACATTTTCTGACACTATTAATAAAATCGTATTATCGAAAACAGATGTGATTTGTCTTTATACCAAATCCTCAGGATAGAAGCGTGCTATAGGAAAAATAATTTTATGTATCCTTGAACGAAAAAAATTTTATTTCGCATCTCCTACATATGTAAATAAAAGTAGTTGTATTAATAAATTTGTATAAAATTTTTAAGTATTATTTAAATTACTTAAAAATTTTATGCAAATTTATTTTTGCTAAGATCTTTAAAAAATATATATAATTATTTTTGAGAATATATTGTATAATTAGTTTATCTAAATTTATCTAATTTAAATAAACTAAAATTTTATTTAGATAAACTAAAATTTAAATAAACTAATTATACAATATATTCTCAAAAATATATTAGGTGTTGGAATTAATTCGTAGCGTTTTACAAGTGATGGGAAGTACTTTCATTAATGTATTTTTTAATGCTCATGTGAAATAAATAACATTCTTTCATTAAAAACGCTACGAATTAATTCCAACACCTAATATATATTCTCTAAAGAAGATCTTAGCAAAAATAAATTTGCATAAAATTTTTAAGTAATTTAAGTAATACTTAAAAATTTTATACAAATTTATTAATACAACTACTTTTATTTACATATGTAGGAGATGCGAAATAAAATTTTTTTAGTTTATCTAAATTTTAAATAACTCTCCTTTTATTTAAATTAGATAAAAGGAGAGTTACTTATCTCCACAAATTTAAATTTTCCAAAATGTCTATAATTATTTATAATTATGTATCAGTCAAACGTGTTACCATAATTTTCCTATGTAAATTTATATTAAATATATGTTGCACTGCAATTCTTTTTTTTCCTTTTGTTATAGTTTACAAGTTATTGCAGATATACAATAGATTTGTTATAGAAATAAGCCACAAATATACAAATTATGAGTTTGTATTTCTTTAATTAGCTAAACAGATCATGATTGTATTAGTATTAATAAAGTGCAATAATTAGTTTCTAAGAAATAAGAGGGTGTCGCTGTAGGAGATCTATGTCAGTATCGGCGACTTTCCTCTATATATATTTTCTAAAGAAGATCTTAGCAAAAATAAATTTGCACAAAATTTTTAACTAAAATAAATTTGCATAAAATTTTTAAGTAATTTAAGTAATACTTCAAAATTTTTAAGTAATTTAAGTAATATTTCAAAATTTATTAATACAATTTATTAATACAACTACTTGCGAATTAATTCCAACACCTAATATATTTTTGAGAATATATTGTATAATTAGTTTATTTAAATTTTAGTTTATCTAAATAAAATTTTAGTTTATTTAAATTAGATAAATTTAGATAAACTAATTATACAATATATTCTCAAAAATAATTATATATATTTTTTAAAGATCTTAGCAAAAATAAATTTGCATAAAATTTTTAAGTAATTTAAATAATACTTAAAAATTTTATACAAATTTATTAATACAACTACTTTTATTTACATATGTAGGAGATGCGAAATAAAATTTTTTTCGTTCAAGAATACATAAAATTATCTAAATCTTTTATTTAAATTAAATAAAAGGAGAATTACTTAAAATTTAGATAAACTAATTTATTTTTGTTAAAATCTTCTTTAGAGAATATATATGTATAATTATTTTAGAGAAAATATATAATTACTTTAGAGAGAATATATTATTATTTTATATATATAGAATTATTTTATATAATATATAATTATTTAAATCATTTTATTTAACAAAGATTTAAAAATTATTTTTTAATTATTGTCAAATAAAATAATTTAAAAACAAGCAAAAAAAGATTAATTTTACACAAATAAAGAATATTTACCGCAAGATTGTTCCATTGGTGCCCATGTCTCTCCCAGATCTCCTCCTCCTCTCAGAATAGGGTTGACATCCTCTTGCACAGGACACTCGCGTAAAACACTCGCGAATAATATAATCGCGCGCGGACTATAATTTGAGTCCGATAACTTAAACGGCACTCCCGGCAAACACGCGACGCGACGAACCGGCTGCGGTTCGATCATTTTCAAATAAATCGGCGACGAAGGTACGTTAGCTTCCCCGTTGGATTTTTACACGAAGAGAATGATTTTACTCAATATCTAAAAATTTATCTAGATGTATCATTCAGATAAATCTGAAAATTTTTAGATACGAGAAAAATCGTTCTTTTCATGTAAATATCCTCTAGGTACTGAACCCTGCCACTATGTCAAGATCGTACCCGTGAGAGAGAAGATAATCTGAAAAATGTAATAGATAGCTATTATCTATATTATTATACAATTACTATGCAATCGGTTAACTTTTAGAAATGAACACACACAGAATATCGAACACACATCTGCAATTCTGTCTGCAGTCTATTATCATTGTGAAATAAATTCAGAGCAGATAAAAGAGCTGAATCTTTTATTTATACATATGTAGATGTCTGTACGATATGATTAGAGTCAATAAAATAGGTTAGAGATTAATAAAAAAGAGAAATATTTCTTTTATTACCGATAAATAGTTCTAAAGTAATTTTAATTTTTAAACGAATTGTATAACGAAAGGTGCACAAAAACAAAAAATTAATTAAATTATTAAACTGTATTAATTGTGAAAGAAGGAATTGCGTTATTTGCATGAAAGTATTCATATTAACATTGCTTTATTATGACTCGTGTGATACTATTCGTACAGACAAGTAACCGTGCCGCTCTTCTTCACATTTCTTTTTGAAACATATAATAATCGCAAAAAAATGCTATAATAAGAGAAATTGTTGTATTTTATGAATATTCATAAAATACAACATAATACGATTACTAGTATGATTAATTATTTATTAAATACAACTTCGTATTATATTTGGCGATATTTGGTTTCGTATTATATTTTCGAAAAGTAATGTGAAAAAGAGCCGCACACGACATAACTATCTGCTTATACGAATTTCGGAGAATGACTACGCGGTAACTACGTATAAACGTAAACATGACGCGCCGCTCCGTGCCACATCTTGCCACCCCGTACCATCCCGTGCCATCCCGTGCCATCCCCACCCCAAGGTCGCGCGCGTCAACCGTCTAACTGTCGAAATAATAACGAATATTACGAATAAGTAAAATAATACATTCTTTACATTTTTAATGTTCTTTGATTAATAAAACAATTTCTTATATTTAGCTTTAGCGCGAGTCGTTTAATGTGATATCGTAATTATATTGTGATACACGAAGGAACATATTTAACGTTCATTTTACAATTTTAAATATTTTGTATCAATTACAATGTGCTGATAAAAGGCACGAAGTAAAAAGAGGTTTTTACTAGCGTGGTTTTTCTTTACTGTTTTGTGTGATTTACAATTAAATAAAGATTAATATGTCATAGATCCTTTAAATGAAGATAAATGCAAAAATTTATTTTAAATTATGAAACAATTTCGACTAAATAAAATAATATGTATATAAGCTGTATATGTATATGTATATATATATAAGCATGTACATTTAGAGATATGTAATTTAATTGTATAATTTATCTGTTACTTTTCCCGTATTAAGAATGCGGAATAACACGAAAATGATGAGAATTATACGATTCAAAGTGATAAAAAGTCACAATTTGAAATATCTAACAATAAGAATCTCATTTTTACACCGTACATGTGAGAATGAAATATTTAAAATATTTATGAACTGTGTATGTACGTAATGAATGTAACAATAAGAAATAAAGCAAAAATCGTGCAACAAAACCTGTTAATCCTTAGTACACTCCTTAGTTTTAGCCAACTTTATGTAATTCGCGTTCGTAGATATCTAATTTTTATTAATTAATGCGACACCCGGAGCGACTCGTAAAACACGTCCGTCTCCCTCAAAGATCGTCGAGCGAATACCAAAGTGATGACGTAGTCAACCACCGCGCCGCGCGACGCGCGACACGTTCCCCCACTCTGTTCGCCGCATGACCTTTCCCCTGTTCGTCGGGCTGCTCACCGTTCGAATATCCAAATATAGTGTATGAAAAATATTCACGGTTTATTCATTTATCATATTTTACATTTTGACAAACGGATATCGCCATACTTTTCACGTTTTGCTTTGTGGCATTTCTGGCACAATCCTGTATTACTTGCATGGTTCTTTTAATTATTAATACAAATAAAAAATAGAATAAAAACGAGCAATTAAGAGCATTAATACGCGGTAATTGGTGCGAATATTATAAATATATATATATTTCGATCATATCTATTACATAAAATACCAAACTGAACGTTTCGGCTATATTCAAGCCATCTTCAGCAGTTCTCAATTATAATAATAATTGTTCACAAATCTAATGTTCGTAACATAGTAGAAATCGAGTGCAGCAAGTAAGTCTCAACAGATTCCCTTTTAATTATTAATTATTCGCGTGGGGTATTTTTTATAAAAATGCACTCGATCGGCATAGCCGAAATGTTCAGTTTGGTATTTTATGTAATAGATTCGATCGAAATATGTGTATTTATGATATTCGCACCAATTACCGCGTATTAATGCTCTTAATTGCTCGTTTTTATTCTATTTTTTATTTGTATTAATAATTAAAAGAACCATGCAAGTAATACAGGATTATACCAGAAATTCCACAAAGCAAAACATGAAAAGTACGGCGATATCCGTTTGTCAAAACATAAAATACGAATAAATGAATAAACTGTGAATATTTTTCATACACAATAATTGGGTATTCGAACGATGCCCGGCGAATAGCGAGGGGGAAAAGTCATGCGGCGAACAGGGTGGGGGAGCGCGTCGCACGACGCGGTGGTTGACTACGTCATCACTTTGGCATTCGCTTGGCGATTTTGGAAGAAGACGGATGTGTTTTTCGAGTCGCTCTGGGTGTCGCATTAATTAATAAAAATTAGATATCTACGAACGCGAATTACATAAGGTTGGCTAAAACTAAGGATATTCCAATTCCATTATGTCTCCATTTTCATTTATATATTCTTTTTAATAATTCATATATTTAATATATGTTCTCTTTTTATGTAAAGATACACGCAAATTTTCTTAATATCGTGAAACAATTTGTGTTAAATATAACTTTAGCTAAAAGAAATAAAAATAACATAATCTTGTTAATCATTATTTAATTTTTCAGTTAATAAATTAATTTAAGATACTACTATCACTGCAAATTATTCCGTGTTTCAAAAATTTTTTAAACTTACGTGTAAAATAACTGTTACGACATATTTAAAATAAAAAATATAAAATAAGTTCCAGAAAGTTATTTAAAATATAAAATCGTAGGAATCTGTAAAAAAACAGATACAATTTGTTTAAAATAAAAAATATAAAATAGCTTCCGGAAACTTATTTAAAATATTAAATAAGAAATAAATCAGAAATGTAGTTATTTAAAATAATAAAATAATAACTCTTTTACTTTTAGATTAAGACGTAAATGACAAAATTTAGTAATTCAAAAATAACAAAAAAAAACAGCAAGATCTCAATATCTTATTAAAAATATTGTGTTCACTGCGAGGATTAGTTTGGAATATCAATTTTAAAATATTGAACCATATTTTTTCTCCTTTAAACATTTTTGTTTTAGAGTTTTAAATTTTTATATGAAACAGTGCATTTTTCTGATTTTGTTAACTATATTTAATTGTAACATTTTATATACAATTTATTATAAATATACAACTTTACAAATACTTTCAAAATATATATAAAAATCATTTAATAATAACAGGCCCACAAAAAAGTGCTGGGGTGGAGACCCATTCTTATATATTTTTATATATATTTTGAGTCGCTGTATGAATCTGACATCAAAATAGGATCATTCAGATAAATTTGCAATCTAGAGCGAAAAATGGGTCAACATCTCAGACTCCGACAAAACCTGAAGAGATTGATGGTACATTTATTCCTTAGATATAATTCATTTTGTACCTATAATTATGTTCAAACATCTCTTTTTTTTTAAATTATTTTTTAGTATAATAGAAATAATAATAATGTAAAAACGTAAAAAATAATTAAAAGGGTAATTTTCACACTATTTGTTTAAAAAAAATCAAGTTTAAAAAAATGTAAAAAAATTATTTATGTATAATTATATAAAATTATACATAATTGTGTGAATGAGCAATTTTTTTTACATTTTTGCAAACTTGTTTTCTAAAACGAATAATACGAATATTATCCCTTTAATTATTTTTTATGTTTTCATATTGCTCTTATTATTTCTATTACACTAAAAAGTAATTTTACAAAAGAAAGAGGGATGTATGAACATATTTCATATATGATTATACATGTTCATGAATATTTATGTATATTTATACATATTTATACATATTCATGCATGAAAAATTGCTTACCAATGAAAGTCCTTTCCTTTTTTTGAAATAAAGAGCTTTGAATGATTGAATTTCTTGTATCTTATGTGTTATACATTATGCAAAAGTTTGTGCTCCCTCTAATTATTAATTGAACCACCTTCATGCCAATGGCATTTTCAAATCACGAGAGGTTAACGAATGGATTTCACGCGATTGATCGAAAGTATCGTTTAAAGTGTTCTATTTTTTCAAAAACGTATAATAGAAGTCTATAGGGAATAATAATTGAATAATTCCAATCGAACAATTTCATAATGTGCGCCCTGCATGGTTTCTTGCAACGGTTCTCAACTGTAATGCATTTATCGAAAGATCTAATTCCTAATTAGGCCACCTTCAGGTCAGTGGCGTTTTCAAATTGTTAACGGTTAACGAATGAATTTCACGCGACTGGTCGGAAGTATCGTTTCGAAGTGTGTGATCGCGTATTAAATATCGCGATTGTGAGATCCTGTGTATCACGACCCTCATTATATGCGATATATTTCATCGGGCGACCGTAACTTCGGTTTAAACGATCGGATCAAATCAAATTTATAGCAATGTATAGCATCTTCGATTTGCTGACTCCATGTTGATCCAACTCCATGTTGTCGATGTTTGCTCTTTTTAATCGCATTTCTTGCACAGTTTAGCAGCTAAATTAGATCAGACGCTATTATTCCGTATTTCTTCGAGAATGAATTTCCGCGAAAATTGCCGCGAAAATTGCCGCGAATGCCAAGTGAAGTGTGCGAAGCAACATACAAGTGCATAGTGAAAATGTGATATATCAGGTATATAATAAAGCCTGATGTAATATCTAGTGTATAATGCATTCATTATTATGGTGTCAAGTGTTGTTAGTGTCGTGCATTATCAGTTATCAGGATACCTAATCGTGGAACAAATCAGAATGAATTCCGATCGGAATTCATTCCAACTTGTTCCATGAAAGTACCCAGGTCGCATCGCCGCTGTTTCCTTCAGTTTCCGTTGAAGTGTTTCGTCGAACGGTGGAATAAGTGATGGAGGTAAACGATTATAGCGACGCTGGATCCGTTGGATACATCGATGCAATGCAGGAGGTGCAGGATCATCCCCGCGGGTAAGTGCTATTTACTGCATTATCGACGAAGCAGTTGATAAACTGTGCTACTAAATCAATACAGATAGCGCCAACATAATCTTTTGCATGGAAATTTGGAAATTGATTCATTTTTCACTAATTTTTTATTCGGATGTTATTTTAGTCGTGTTTTTAGAACATATTAAAAGTACATTGGATCGATTATAAGTTAACAGTTGCACGAAATGTAGGAAATATAGTTGCAATATTAAATTTTTCTTCTTAGCGAATTATTAATTTTTAATAATTATTAATTTTTAATAATTATATGAATATAAATATATGTGTGAATAAACAAATAGAATATATTATATAAAATATATTATATATAATATATATTATTCACACTATATAAATATAAATTATCAATGATGATAATAATAAATTTGGAGACTGCAAGTTACAAGAAATAAAAATGTCTATTTTTACAACTCCATTATCATATTAATTATTGTATCTTTATTATTCTCTTATTATCGCATAACATATAGATTATATAATAAAAAAATAGTAGAGGTATAAATATGAGTTTATTTAATGTCTTTTTTTTCATAATTCTAAAAATTATGATTTGTATCTTATATAAAAGTTTTCCTTCAAAAACTCATGCATTCTTCACTGAACCTTTCACGATTTTAACATCATCTACTGGTCGATCGTTCTTATCCGTTTCAACTAGTCCAATTCTTTTCACTATTGTCATGCCAGAATGAACTCTACCTGTTAAGTAAAGAAAAGAATAAAATCATTTTACATCAATTATATCACAAGGAATAGTTATACATCACTAGGTATAGTCAGTAATAAATTATAACTTACCAAATATACTATGTTTTCCATCAAGCCATTGAGTAGGTGCAAGCGTTACAAAGAACTGTGACCCATTTGTATCTGGCCCAGAATTTGCCATTGATAATATTCCAGCACCTACACGTACAAATTTTAACATTACATAATTTAAGTATTTGCGTTAAAAGAATATTATTCAACAGAAAAAGCAATTTTGCAACTGATTCTTTAAAATGATACTTGCCCTTAACTTTGGAATACTACTATGGATAAACTTTTCATGTACTTTTTGAGATCAATATAGAGATAGTTTTTGTTATTATAACATTTTGATAGCTTCAAATAATATTTAATAAAATTAAATTTACTTTCTTGAGTTAAATTGTTTAATTCCATAACAACACAATGTTGTTATTCTAACATTTTGTAACTTATAAAGTAGAAAATATGTAAAAAAATTCTAAATTATATATCAGTGCATTATCATCCAGAATAGTATTAGTGATAAGAAAAATATG